TTAGTATATATATATATATATATATATATATATATATATATATATATTTTTCTTATTGTGTCAACAATTTTTGTACTATTCTGTGTAAATAATTCTCTTAATTAATTTGTTTTAAACTAAATTATTTTATTTTGTTGTTATTTAATAATATTAGAAATTTAATTTAATTTTTATTTATTGTTTCTGTATTTCTGATTATTTAATTTCATTTAGAGATAATTTGTTTTTAATTAACATTAATCTGTTTTTTTTTTTGCAGGAATGGCAATACGAAGGAAATCAAACATCTGTTTAAAATCAAAATTGGCGCTCGTTAAAGTTTCCACAAATTAGGTCTGTTCTTTTCAGTTGAATTACTTGCACGGTTCATTTATCTTCTTTTTCTTTTGAATGTGGAAAAAGAGAGGGAAAATGAACGGTATAAGAAGTTTATCTAAAGAAAACAGGCCTATTGTTTATTCACCGGTTAAACCATGGCACTATTGTTCCAAGAGTAATTTTCTATTAACAACTTTGAAAGAAAACGGGGTTATTGTAAATGCCCAAAGACATTTGGACTTGGATAAACGATATGATCGATATTTACGCATCGATAAACACTTATGCTGCCAAGAATTTACAATTGCTATATTATGTAAACTCATTGTGATCATTATTAATAAAACTCTGAAGTAATTTATGGATATTTATAGATATATCTAATAGATATGTTCACACATTTTTACACGAGTTATTTTCATGTCAAAATATTATTTTACATAGCTTTTTCTAAATATCTAATTTGTTTTGTATCGTTTTTTCAATATAATTTCAGCATTCAGCATATGATTTTATTATAAAGGTACAAAATTTAAATATATAAATAGTAAGCTTTTATCTTATTATCATAGAAATAATATTGAAATTAATTGCAATCTAATTTTCGTATAATTAACTTAATTTTGCCAAATAGTTTTATGCATGTGTGTGTCTAGACCAAAAAATACTACGGATTATCAACAGTTATTGATTACGCTGCAAACGGATAAAACTCTGACGTCAATGGTTTCCAGGATACAATCACCCGATATTCCTACTCACTTTTCTGGGATAGTAAGCAGGACACCTGCGCACAAATATCGATTGGCGCCCACCTGTCTGATTGTACCGAATTCTTTCTCAATATCTTGATAGAGACGCAGTTGATTTCGAATAATATTTGGCGCAACAACTGTTTCTCACTAGCTACATTGGTATTAAACCTGTTAATTTTTGCTTACAACAGAGTTGCGATTATCTTTTTTTTTATATTTAGACACTTCCATTCAAGTTAAAGTGGAATAATTGCTACCATCGACTCAATATGAATTTTTAATGAATAACTGAAATTAACAATAGTTATTCAGAGAATTAATATTAGTTATATTATACCATAAACTACTGATTATTAATTTTATTATTATTATTCTCTTTATCAAAGAATCTTAATTATTCTTTACTTTATCTTAGTGTATCTCATACATGTCATCATTTTCAATCAATCATGTGTTTTATTAATCAATCGTGTTTTATTAATTTCTATTTTTAGATAAAACTTTTTTATTTTAATAATATTATATCAATTATTTCATTTTAAGTTATAATCTAAGGTAATAAAACAATTCTTTTAAATCGATCTCTCTTTTTTGAAAGAAAATGGATCTCCTTTCTTAATTAGATTTCTCATCAAATTAGTTGTGTTTCAATATCGAAATCTTGAATTATTTTATTCATATGTTGAATGATAGGTCAATTCCCTTTATACTTGTTGCATTCTCTACGTTGCAATCTCTACGTAGTAGTGTATTTCTAAGTTGTGACAATTTAAATTCGATGAGCGCTTGCGCGTGCTATCGATTCAGCTTCTTGGTTTGGACTCCGTCAGCTGTGAGATTTATGAAAGAGCAGAGAGACAATGGCGAGTGGAAAAAACCAATTCCTTCAAGTTCTCTTGATCTTCACAGTAGTGATATTTAGAGGTGTTATATCCAGTATCGACGATGGAAGCTTCGACGAAAGTAACTTCAATAAATTTGATGATCTTTACCCATTCTCTCACGTATGTACACATTCAAATAATTAACTTGCTTATTGAATATCGTAATTTTTATCTTAATAAACGATTATTTTGCAATTTAGAATCACGTTCACGCATGCGATAATTTGGCAAATAAATAAGCAACATATTCTTCTTTTTTACTTCAATTTTTATGCGTACTTATGTAGAAGAGAAGGTGGTATTATAAATCGTGTAAATATTATGGCCATTCGTAATATCTCTGTTATTAGGTGACGAATTCTAATAATTATTTATAGAATCATTTGCTCAATTTATCATTTGTCAATTTATAGTGGTAGATACATATATAAACATTCCCTTTTAAAAACACACACACACGAATCGCAATGTTTTAATAATATAATGACGTAGTAATTCTATTATGTTAAAAAGTTACGATAATTTTATTATCATTATCATTATGCAGGATCAATCTTTAGAATTTTACAACGCGCCATTATATCCCATTGAAAATCATCTCTGGCAAAGTCCTGAAAATCTTGGCGAGGTTGCCGGAGTTGCAGTGGAACCGACTGGAAATATCGTGATTTTTCATCGCGGGGATCGAACATGGAATTATGAGTAAGTTATTAATAAATTAATGAAGAAAAAATAAAAAGCATATTATTAAGATTTTTACTTTCTAGGCAACGATTAAATATTTAAATATGTTCTATCATATTATCTTTCCCATTTAAAAAATAACTGTGGGTAACTTTGAAAATATCCACAATTTCTAGTTCAACTTCTGCTTTCTTAAAAATCTAGCTATGTCCCTAAGTCAAAGTATAATTCCTTTAAATTTTAGTATGTTAAATTATCTTTTCAAACATGTAATTTTATAATGTTCCATTAATAACGTTTAACGAATTTTTAGCACTTTTAACGAGAATGCAGAATATCAAGAGAAATATAGAGGTCCTATTCGTGATAACACAGTATTAACATTGGATCCTAAAACTGGCGATATTATTCGCGGTTGGGGAAATCAAACATTTTATTTGCCACACGGAATCCACATCGATCACTTTGGGAACATATGGCTAACCGATATTGCTCTTCATCAAGTATTCAAGGTTTCTAAATAAATTCACATTGAAGTATCCTAAAAAACTCATATGTGTCCGTGAAATGTGCTTTTCGAATATCTTGTACGTATTGTTGCCGCTTTGCAACAATTTAAAAAAATGTTTTATATAAAAATTGTAGGATTTTGAGACCATATGATTACAATATTGATTTATTTGCAATGATGCCACGTATCACGTTATAATTACAAAAAAAATTTTAGAACATAAATAAGTTTTCGTTGTTGATAAAACCTGGACATAAGTGATGAACATACAAATGTATTGATATTATTATATTTATATGAATTATAGTATTCGGCTTCCGGAGTTCTTCAGATGGTCCTCGGTCAAAGATTCGAACCTGGAAGCGATATAGAGCATTTCTGCCAGCCAACTTCGGTCGGAGTTTTGCCAAGTGGCGAGATCGTCGTTGCTGACGGATATTGCAACAGTAGGATAATAGTATTTAACAAAAGAGGCAATCCTAAATATGCTATTGATGAAAGTACGTTAATATTACTAATATTCTATCATAAATTTTCGCTTAATAATTTTTAAATATATTAAACACACATTCTCTTCTTTTAAAAAAGTTTATTTTTTACACTTTATCACATATTTAAATAAAATTAATGTTCACTTTCAGATTGGATTACTTTGAGAATCCCGCATGCCTTAACAGTTTTGTCAAATAGAGAAGTATGTATCGCTGATCGCGAAAATTGGAGAATTGTATGCTTGGATGTGACATTCTCCGGATTGAATAAAAATTTCGAATCTCCTTATTTTATTCATCATCGACAATTTGGCCGCATATTCGGAATTGCATCGTATCGTAAGTAATTCAATTGATAAATAATTATTATTACATTAAAAATAACGATTTTACTCGCATAATTAAATCAAACAATAACTCGTGGGTAGATGTCTCAATTTCTCATATATTGTATAACTTTGAGGATCACAAAATTATTATGTTTTTAAGTATGTTTTAAAAATTAAAAAATAAAACTATATGTCGCGAAATTAATACTGCACTATCATTTTTTTGTCTATGACATTATAAACCAATATAGCTGCGGCGAAAATACCGAATTTTAATAAATATATTTATAAATATATATTTAAAAAGTAATATAAAGCCAAGCAAAAGTTATATATAAAATCAAAAAAAAAGTAGAAAGGATAAATATTTTATTATCCATATCGATGTTTTCAGGTGGTTTCATTTATGCTGTTAATGGTATGACGTCTAGAAATATACAAATTAAGGGTTTTACCATTGATCCTATAAATAAAAATGTAACTGGATTTTGGGGTCCAGAATCTTCAGTAAGTATCATTTCATATTTTTTACTTAACAAATTTCACATCATATTCAAAATTATTTTAATATTTTTTATTCTTATTTATTTAAAAAAATATATATTGTATTTCTTGTATACATATTGTATTTTTTGTATACATGTTGTATTTTTTTACAGTCCTTTACAAGACCCCATGATATCGCTGTCTGCCCATACGGTAGAGCTCTTTATGTATCAGAGATCGGACCAAACAAAGTATGGAAATTTGATCTAATGACCAAATCAAATTAATATGAGAATCAAATTAAGCAACTATTGTTAACTGAAATCTGTTGTCTCATGTATGATCCTGGAGTAAACCAAAAATCAAATTCATATAAGACAACAGAAAAACACAATCCTTTTCTTCCAATACCTTGTTACATTACAAAATGCTAATGTTGCTAACATAAAACTGATATACAATAAAAAGGAATATTTTCCATCACTCGTTTGCTAATTTAACATGTATATTATATAAAGAATCGATTATTTTAAGAGCCTGGAATGTTTAAAAGAATTGACTGTTTTAAAGAATTGATGTATAAATATTACAACAATTAACCTACGTAGAATTTAGCGTTTATTAGAAGTTCATATGATTAATATCAAGTAAATATATTATTGTAATATATATTATTGTATATATATTATTATTACATTCCAATAAAAATAAATAAATAAGTACCATCAGAGAGAAGCCTGAGAGCGGATATGTCTGCGATTTAGTTGTAATTTTATTTTGAAGCGCCTCTATGTCCATAAAAACATGGACATTGACCTACGTAATCAATGTCCATGATCCTGCAGATAATATCCATTGCGTGATTCTCATTCGTGCTATGTCCATGATTTTGTGGTTTTATTCCTTGCTATATGCAGGAGTGACAGTTAGATAAAGAGAAACGATCAATCTTTATCCGTCCTTGTCTCACAAAATCGTGGACAAAACGTAACGATTACGAGCATTTAAAGTTGAGTTATTTTTAAGTTATCAAAAGACATTGTAGAGCCTGGTATTATTAGTTAGATATTATTCGTAATATTGTTGAATATTTCGTTTTACACACGTTGTAGATATCGCGGCCTTCAAAATTGTTTACGTGCCATGGCTGTGGTATGTACGCGCGCCATGTTTACGAGCGCTCCACGTTGTCATTCTTTGTTATCATTCTTTATCCGGCGTTCGAACGAACAAGTAATGGCGCGTATCGCTTCGCGTTTCCTCATATTCCTTCATTGTTAAATAATATCAAACGTTGCCATATCATATGAACATAATAGTAAATGCTTATCAATTGATTGATTAACTATTCATAAACGTATCGAAACAATATCTTTTTAATAGGTATATTAAACGCGCGACTTATTTCTTTGAAATTTATGACTTTTTGTAAATGATTACCCCTCCGATGGCCTTGAGATGGCGGAGAGGCTGAGTATTCCGAGGGGTTTCGTACTCCAAAGACGAAGAAGCCAACAGTACCCATTGCACCATTATTAATAATTCAACAATATTACAAATAATATCTAATTTACACGAAATATTATAGTTTTTAATAATCGAACATTAAATAATGTATATAGATATTTCATTAGAGAGTATCATTAAATAATATTTAAATAACGTGTGTATATATTTCATTAGAGAGTATCGCGTTTCGCGATATGCTTGTGAATCGACGACTATTGCGTGTGTTATTAATATATTATTAATAACATTAATATTACCGTTGAATAATATTAATGTTATTGATATTATACACAATTGTCGTCGTTTTTTAATCAATATTCCACCGCTGATTTAAATGAGTGAATGAACTGCCAGATTAATGATTAACAAGCATATCGAAATGATATTCTTTAATGAAATATATACACACATTATTTAATGTTTGATTACTAAAAGATGTAATTTCGTATAAGATATTATTTGTAATATTGAAATATTTCGACGAAGTCATTGATGAGGCAGCTTGAGAAAAGTTTACGCGGCGCATAGCGTGCTCCATTACTTGTGTAAAGATAGCCCCCCAACATTGAAAAACATAAAGTTTCTATAGCTCATTCGATTGCTCATCGTTTGCACATGTATGCACATTTCAAATTTTCGTTTGCACACTTCTAGTAAAAAAGTTATTAACAAAACAAATTTCGAGGGGCCATTTTCACACTAGCCCCCCAACTATGAGTAAATTAAATAAAAAAATAACTCCATTGATAGATATTCGTTTGCACATTGCCAAACAGGTCGATTTTTCATTTGCACACCTCTAGTTAAAAAGTTATTAACAATTAAAGTTTTAGAAGCGAGCGACTTCGGCAGAGATGAAATAGAAACAAAAATATTGTGCTTAAAATGGTATATTATTCGATAGAATTTTGTTTGCACTTTTCCGAGCAGGTCGAATTTTGGTTTG